GGGGAGAGTTACCACCCTCTCTAGTCCTTCTGAGGGCCCTGGGGAGGCCTGGGGGCCCCACTTCCTGTGCCTCCAAATTCTAGGAAGTCTTGGAGCCATGGGCTGTTGAGAATTGTGGTGATGCCACCTCCCATGGAAACTGAGGCACTGGGAGTGGGTGTGTCTGGCCAAGGCAGAAGGAACTCCCAGGGCCTGCATGTCTCATGGGGTGGGGTCCAGAAGCCACCCTAATTCACCTCTGTGTCCTTCCTGATCCTCCCCCAAACACTTTTTGAGAGTAAGAAAAAAGGGTGGAGAGGAAGCTGTAATTTCTAGAATGTGGATAGTCCCATTTTTTTAGAAGGCAAACTGAGGGTCGAGAGGAGGCAACAAGAACCCCTGGGTATGGCTGTGCAGTGCCTGGGGGCTGGAGTGAGACCCTGCCTCCTTCACGCCTGTGCCTGGGGCTGCCCAGCACAGCGATGCCAGGGGAATGCACTGGCCTGGGCACTGCCAAGGCCAACTCCATTGTCAGCATAAGAAACTTCCAAACCTGTAGAGAATTTTAATGCGTTTATTTGAGCCAAACTGACGACACTTGCTACAAAGCAAAATCTGAAAGGATTGAGAAAATGCTCCAGAAAATGGCAGTTTTACCGCTTATTTCCTACATCAGAGTCAAAGGGGAAGCCGTAAGGGGGTTTCGTGAATAGATTAGGGAGCGGGGGAAAGCGAAGTGGAGAAATCTCTGATATTGAATAAAAAGTAAAATGGAGAGACACATTGTTCTTTTAATTGTGGGTACAGGAGAGTTAACAATTAACACTCACAGCACAGAGATGGTGTTCAGGGAACAAGATAACAGTGAGGGCTCTGTGGCCTGTGCTCTGGTGGGTGACTGTGCCCCGAGGGGTCTGGAAAAGGAGATTACTCTGACATTCCAAAAGTTATGTTATTATAGATGCAAAAGACAATAGACAGGATCAGCTAAGGTCAAGACTGACTTTTGTTAAGGAAGCTACTGGCCTAGGACATGACTACCTGCCATGACTCACTTTCAGTTATGAAGTTTTAATTTCAGACCATCCTATGTGGTTCTTTAGGTCTCTGAGTTTGCAACGCCACCATGCAGTCCTCCCCTGAGCTTGTCAGGTTTAGCATGTGGCCCCTTTTTCGTCCACACCATTCACTTCTTGTCCATTTGCACCTGGTCTGTCCACTGTCCCTGCTGGTGTACCAGGAGCTCAGGGGCCAGAGGAGGGATCCCCGATGCCTGAACACGGCTCCACGCCTGCCCTGCCCTAGAGTATGGAGAGACTCTGCACATACCAGAAGGCCGGGGAGGGCATGGGCAGAGAGGACACATATGCAAATGCCTGGAGGAAGGACAACATAGGGTGTGGACCAAGAACAGGAGCATTCAATGCCACTGGCCAGAATGGCTTGTGTGGGAAGAGGCCCAGGACCTGTGGGACCTGCCCTGCCAGCCAAGGGGCAGGAGTTGTGTCTGACAGCCAGTGGGGGCCATGGGGGAGGTTTGAGCCTGGGGGCGGCTGTGCCCAGTGAGGTGGGAACGCTTACTGGCGGGCCAGGCTCGTCCTGTGCCTTCCCCAGCTCACACAGACTCTTCAGTTTTCTCAGGTGACCAGATCCAGAGGATGACGCCCTGAACCGTAGAACTTTGGCCTCATTATGATCAAATGAGCATGTATTTGTAAAAGCCTCTGTGAGAAAGAGGAGGTTGTGTGGAACCAGGGGCCGACCTGGGCAGTGCAGGAAAGAGGAGCGAGAAAGAACACTGGGCTGAGTCAGAGGGCTGGTGTCTCAGCTCCGGCCCCAGCTGCTTGGTGGCTTTGGGCGGCAGTGCTAGCTTCCTTGGGGGGTTGACAACCATCTCTTCCTTCCAGGGGGATGGGGAGGACCAGATGCAGGGAAAGACTGTGTCAAGACCCTTATGTGGCCCTGGCTAGGTAGGGTAGCTCAGGTAGCTGAGGGTTAGAACTTTGTCCTAATGCTCCAAAGTTGCAGGTCCCATCCTTGCTTAAGGCACGTATAAGAATCAACCAATGAATGCATAAATAAGTGGAACAACAAACCGATGTTTCTCTCTCTTTCTCAAAAAAAAAAAAAAAAAAAAAAAAA